CCAGTTGTCAGTGTCAGGCTCCCAGAGTAACTCAGTTGTTTACATGCACAACTACTATAATACTTACATAAAAATCTCATCAATGTTACATTTTATTGCTTTTTCTGCCCAGTAATCTCCTTTCTCTGTGGGCAGAAAGCATCCTGGAGGAGGGATTATGTTTATCTGTGGCTTCAAAGTGTTACATACACAGTAGCTAGAACTAAAAATCAACTGATAATAGGTCAGTCTTTTGTGTGTTCTGTCCCCTTACTAAATAAATGTTTTGGGCTCATGGAGATCATAGACAATATCTATTAAGCTATTTTCAAGCAATCTTTTGGGGGGAAAACACTAATCTGAAGTATCTTTTAGTTTTTGCATTCTTCAGCAGCACATCTACCTAGCCTATAGATGGTACCTTCTTTTCCCCTCATGTTTAAACATTTCCTAAAGTTTGAGTATACAAATTTCCAAACCTGTTCATCTAAGCTGATGTTCCCTCTCTTCAGTACTTGGAATGCAAATGCTATGAAATGGTGTTGCATTATCAAGTGTTAATTAGCTCAAGAATAAACACTGAAATGAAGAGAGCCAGCCAGCAATTAAGCACCATGCAGCCGCTCACTCACTCCTTCTCCCTCACAGTAGGATGGGGAAAGGAATTGAAAAAAAGTAAAATTCATCAGTTGAGAGAAAAACAGTTTAATAACTAAACTAGGATAAAATATTATAATAATAATAACATTAGTAATGAAAAGGAATATAGCAAAAAGAGAGAGAAATAAACCTCAAAAAAAGACAAGTGATATACGGTGCAATTGCTCACCACCTGCTGACCGATGTCCAAGCAGCGATCTGTTCCTCCCAGCCAACTCCCTCCAGTTTATATACTGAGCATTACGTTCTATGGTATGGAATATCCCTTTGGCTAGTTCAGGTCAGCTGTCCTGGCCAGGCTCCCTCCCAGCTTCTTGTGCACCTCTTCACTGTCAGAGCATGGGAAACTGAAAAATCCTTAACTTAGGATCAGCACTACTTTAGCAACAACTAAAACATCAGTGTGCTACCAACATTATTCTCACAATAAAACCAAAACACAGCACTGCACCAGCTAGTAGGAAGAAAATTAACTCTATCTCAGCTCAAACCAGGACAGAGTGTAGGTAGGTTCTCTGTATCAGCCTACTAGAGTTTTCCTAATAACTTTCTCATTGATTTAGAAATAATCTTCTAGTCTCTCATGGCTATTGAAGGAGTCCTAAAATGGTTAAACAATACAAAAAGACTGAATGCTTTGCAGATCTCTAAATGGCCACTTGAAGTTATTTTAATCTTGTAGTTGCTTTTCTTAGATAATATCTTCTGATAATGAAACAACTCTAAGCATTTTGAAAGCTCATCTTTCTTCCTTTTGAATATAAAAGGAGATAAAAACATAGCATTTAATGTGAACACAGTAAAATCTTAAATTATGGAAAGTTCCTGCCTGCCATTAATAAACCAGAGATTGCATCAGACTTGGGGGGGAGCATGCTGAGTTTTGTTGTTGCCAATGAGACCCTCCCTGCTTCACTGATAGGAAAGAAAAGGGTGATTCAGAACCATTCTGAGTAGTCTCACATCAAAAGGGAATTTGTTCCCTGATTTTCTCCATCAGCAGTCAATAGGCAACATTCCGATTTGGATATTTTAGGATTTGAGATGGACTTGGAACTTTTCAACCGTTTTCCTAAAGTTGTGTTAAAATACTGTTTCATGTTTTGGTGGAACATTAGATTAACGGGGTTAACAAGAGAAAGTTGAGTCATAGAGAAGCTTGAGGCAACGTATCATTCAACACCTTAGGGTTGAGAGGTTTATAATGATAAACTGACTGAAATTTCTTCCAGTTTCTGTGTTTTCCAGATCAGAATAACACTGCAACAAAGTTTTGTCACTCTGAAGTTTTAAGACACACCTTTAATTACATAGCATACTTCCTTTGCATTTAGGCAACAAGGACAGCAAGAGAGAATGCAGCATGATGTCCAGCATGAATATTTCAGGGGTGTCACTTTGTTCAGATTATCAGGATTTTGGCAAAACAACACGACAGGAAATGTGACAATTTCAGAATAAAAGAAGGGACTGGTAGTAAAAACTAGAGCAATACAGAGTTTGAGTTAATTCATCAAAGCTGGCATTGCTCACAGCTGGTCACTTCCATATATTCAATCAAATTTTCCATAATTTACATCTGGAAGAGGTATGCAAGAGACATTTAAAAACATGTTTTAGACCAAAAAAAGCAGCTGCTACTTAGTAATATTTGACTTGTTTTCTTTAGCTCAACAAAGCGTTGTTCAGGTCTACCAAGAGGGTTCAGAAATACTTTGTTGAAGACTCTTTGCTATATCTCAACCTTCATTTTTCAGACTGTTTTGGGCCAAAGCAGGGAACGTGCATTTTGTCATGACTCAGAACAGCTGTTGCAGGTGCTGTGCCTCGGAATTTGTGGGATCTTACATTGGTTATGACACGAGAAAGGAATTGCTCAGGAAATTAAGCTACATATGTCCATATACAAAAAGCCTTTTGCTCAAATTTAATTGGGTAGGATTACAAGCCAAAAATGGCCTTCATTAGCATAATGCTATTTTCAGGATACTGTTAGGGATTAGGAGTTTCTCCAGAGAACATGCAGACCACATTCATCAACGGAAAGCAACAGCAATTCTCACTTCAAGAAAAACTTCTGATTTACATAACTAGCCTTGACTCATGATGCAGGTTTTATAAATTACTTTGTCAATCTAAAAGATGCTTGCTATTCAAATTATGAAGCCCCCGTGAGTACAGGCCCATTACTCTGAATAGAGAGGCCATAAAAACATCAGTACCTCTGACATAAAACTGATGTATTAAGCAATAATGTTTCACGTAAAACCTCAAGCTTCATTTATCAGCAGTGTCTGTAGCTGGGTTTTGTACAGGTTACGAGTGAAACCCTGAATGCTTCAGTCACATCACAGATGTTAATAAAAAGGCATAATAGAGAGGCTGAGCAAGATGGATTCAGGATGTAATGACGCTTTCAAGCCAAATGCTCCCAAAGATTAGTGGAGGAGGATGTATGAGAATCTCTACTTTAGAATGATGCTGAGCATCTTCCTACCAATAAAAAAAATTGAACTATCTGTTGTGGGAGCTGCTGAAGTAAATGGGAAGGCAGGTTTCTTACCTAACTGTCAGCTTGCATAATTTAGCTCATTCTAGCAGCTTTGACATTTCATTAGTTGCTGTTCTTGACCATTAAATTTCCCTACTTATAGATCAAAATTATAACTGGGAAAGCGAGAAGTTAAAATCCATCAGAATGCACATTTGGAAAGAAAAGTGAAACAGGGTAGAGAACAGGGTAGGAAAGAAAGGGTGAAAGAACCAGGATTCAGAAAATTCTAAGGGGAATAAATTTAAAGCTAAAATGCAAACCAACCCATATAACTGAAAGCTGCTCTTTTTATCTTACAATAATCCATGTGTGTATTGGCATATTCAGTGACTTGGAGAGTAAAGAGTTAAGCCTTTTCCACCACAACTTGGAGCTGGAACCCCTCTGACCAAGCACTTGGGGTTTAGTTTCACTTCTTTAAGAGCTCTTGGCGTGTGTCTGCAGTGTGGGAATAACGCTGCTTCCTGATAGCACCGACTTGTGTCATGTGTGAGTAGGTAAGTACAACAGTAAGAGACTGCTGCACGCAGTAGGTCAAGCCCATTTAGTTGTTAGCCAGAGTCAAAGCCATCTGAAGCCCGACCTCTTTCCTAAGGAGATGCACTCTGCTTTGTATCTGAAAGCAGTTGAGACAAAATTAAAGTAAGCAATGCCTCTTTTGGAGTGCAGCGCACCTGCCCTTGCATTTATGTCTCTTTAAATATTCCACTCCCTGTTCCTTTTTTCCTCTCCAAATGCTCTGCTCAGGGAAGGGATGAAGGCTCTCAGAGGTATCCATTACAGCAGTCTGTCCTTACCTAAAACTTATATCTGTTGTCATTAAGATTACATTCAGATATAGGAACATCAGCAAAGATGTAACAGGATTGTTAGGTAATTTATCTTAATTTCTCTACAAGTTTTTTGTAGATGGATCTATGGGATCCTGTGCTGGTATGCTTCTAATTAACTAAAAAGCAGTGGGGTTTCTTAATGCCTCAGTATTCCACTTGTTAGAAACTATTTATTCTTAAAATAAAGGGAAGAAGCTATATAAACCACAGAATTCTTACGAATGTTTCAGGATCCTTTTGGGTTGCTTCTGAGATACAATGATAAATCTTACCTGACATTTTTGCCACTCTTTCTAAGGAGAAAACTAGTTTTACTTTTGACAAGAATGTAGAAGAGCATACAGTTTCATTACCTCTCACATTGAAATATGAGATTATAGTTAATCCTGTCCTTTTCAGATTCATGCTTTTGATTCCCACAGGACCACAAATCTGCTCCTGAAAGCTTTTCTCTCCTGACTCTCTCATCTAGATCCCACATGCTGTTTTTCAAGGTGACATGCTGCTCTTCAAACATAGGAGGAGGTGGGAAGGAAGGGAGGGGAGAAATCATTCCATTATAAATCGGTGCAAAATGAAATAAGACTTTAAAATGTTACAAGGAAAACATTTAATCTCCCAAAGTATTACAGGAGCAGTGCATCCTCACCTTCTATATTCCCTTAATCCTATTAGATAACACCAATAGTAAGCAGCTGGTACAAATGTCAAATAAATGCTTTTGAACTGCTTGAAAGTATGAGCAAAAAAACTTGAGATGGATATACAGCACTGGGAGCGTGACCAGAAGCTGGGAGGATACGGTTTTTAGTCTTCATAATGGCTGTTACTCGAATGTGTCTAGTTTAGATTTGGGAAGATACTCCCAATGGTATTAAATCTTCTGGAGACTTTTTGATTTGGGTATCATCTTGAATAAGATTTTTTTATTAATTTCTGCTTTCTTTCAGAATTTTGATGAAGTTTCTTTCTCAGCTAAATGAAGACAAATATTTATCTGGGCTCTGCAATTTGAATATATATTCAAGCATTCAAGATCATCTGAGTGCATATCTCTGTTTTAAAATATGACCTGTCTGAACTGAAGAACCACATGCTTCCATCTGGCAAGCACCAGTTTTGTCCAGTCAAAACATCAAAACCCAAAATATTTCCATCACACTTTTTAATCACAAAGTGAGTAGTCCACATGTGCTTCTTGTCAGGGAGTCATAAATTAACTTTCCCAGTTAGGTAAATAATACTTGTTCCATTTACTCCAGTGACTTTAACTCTCTGCCACATGGGTTGCACACACAATTGCTTGGATCCTTTTGTGTCAGTATTGAACTTTGTGCTCCCGTATCTATTAGAAATTTCACCAGTTGACATCGAGGACCAACTAGAATTAGAATGTACTCTGCTTTAATGACGGGCCTACCCTCATATTGAGAGAAACCCAAAGGAGAAAAGGGGTCATCATTTCCCTCATCAGAGTCATTAGGATCACCCCAAATATCACCATCCCAGTCCTTTGGGGACAATATTAATTTCATAATTTGCATGAGGTTAGGCAGGTGTGCAGCCCATATCAGCATCATCTCAATCTTTTCTTCCAAATTTTTTGTCTTCTCCTTTTCTTTCTATAACTGCTTCTACAGCTGCTCAATTTTCAAAGACAGTATTAATTCAGCAGCCTTTCTGCCTTCTGTTTCTTCTTTTAGGTCCCGTTGCCTTTTATTGTTATTCTTCCTATCCTGATAAGCAGCTTCTAGGCAGGTGCCTAATGTCTTAAAAATAATTCCTTTTCCTTTTACATCCTTCATATGGCCCCTGGCCACAGTTAGCTGTTCTTCCACAGTTTTCCAATCATGCCAATTATTACAAGCCCATTCTTCTGAGAATTTGGGACTCAGACTTATTCCATGCTTCACAAAGTAATCAGTGATACTACATGCCATCCTGCTGAGGATATATAATAATAGAGCATAATAACATTTCTGCAGAACAGGTATAATTCAATTTACCTTTTTAACGTTCATAGCCAGAACAATCACCACATTCCTGTGCAAGAGGCATTGAAGAAGTAGGTAGAGAAAGATGGAATATTTCAGTTAACTCATGAGAACTGAGGTTTAAAGGTAGACTCTTGCTTTTGTAATCAAAACAGGTTTTCCTAAGAGGAAAACAAGATTTATTTCTTCTTGCCTTTTTAATCAGTACACTTCTCCAAAAGCTGGGCATAATAATTAATCTGAAAACTTTATAGAATAACAAATGTAAACTTTTACCATATAATCTTTAATTACAAATGTTATGCTTCCATTTTTTAATTGCTTTTTATTTTTAAGGTTCTGCAGATCAATGGTTTTTCAATTATTTTTCAATTAATTGATTTTGGTTTCCATGCTCCCTTATTATGTATGTCTGCAAATCACTTTGTGGATGAGTGAGGAGTGTTGCAGAAGGTTCTGCTTCCATTTCTTTTTCTGAAAAACAAGCTGGTGAAATGGAGTCAAGCATTCAGCATAAAGTAAATGCTCATAGACATGAAATTTGGAAAGTAGTTTGTAAATATAATTTTAGCTGTTGTGAAAGAACAGAATTGAATCCCTGGAAAAAATACACTTGGTGAGTACTTGAAGTTTATAGAAATTACCTTGCTGCCAGCAAATGGCTTGAAGTATAAGGGCTTCAGATCTAGCCCAAGAATCCCACCCAGCTCCTGGACTTTCATGGTTAATTCAGAATGTGTTTTATTCTCAGTATTAGGGAAAAAATCATTTTAAAAAACAAAACCAAAACAACAACCAAAAAAAAAAAAACAAAAAAACAAACAAACAAACAAAAACACAAAACAAAACCACAGTATAAATGAAATTCTTAAAATATCTGAGACAAAAAGTCAGAAAGAGGTAAATTACCTTCATTCATTTCAACTCTAAAATGGCTTCCCGGAAAAGGTATGGCCTGTCACAGCAGCAAGGATACAGTATGCAGTTATACAGTAGAAGTTGTTTGTGATGCTACATTACTTTTTGAACTGTTAAATTAAGTTTTTAATTGCTAAAGTGCTGTGTCTGAAGACAGCCAATATTTGATGTTCCAAGAACTGATAAACATTTCCTGTGACCCATAAAACTGTGGGTTTTCTCTGATGTTGCAACAGCTTGCAAAAAAAAGCCATTCGTTTTCCTAGATCATGAGAAGGAAACTGCATCCCATTGGTAATCTGTAAACCATTTACTTTGATTATTTCTGGTCTTTGGCTTCCTCCACTACACTGCATTAGTCCTACATGGAATAATGATGTTCTCCCGAACTAGAGAAGAGTAAATGGCAGGTGGGAAGAGGTAACTGCTCGACACTGTAAAATTTGTATGAAAATTATCAAAATTCTTGGAAGTCATTAAGGTTTTCTGAAATAGCTGGAGGTTCACTAAGCAGAACCACAAGCCACAAGCAGTGACCTGAAGGAGGCTGTCTTATGCACACATCAGTTTTAATAAGTATCTGTTCTACTTCAGAGGCAGACAGACCAAAAGGTAAGCTGATTATAATTAAATAGACTCCAAAGGCAACAAGAAGTCTTATTTTGGCATGTGAAACCATGGAGGGGTTTTCCTAAAAAACTGAATGTCTGGTCAAGAACATGATTTTTGCATAAAACTGGGACAATGCAGGTACCCATCAAGAATTCCAGAAGTTCAAATGTGCCTTATCCTCAGAACATAAAATGTATCAATATTGCAGTTTTTATAAAGAAATGTCAGTCTTTCTTATTATAAACAAAAACTTTTTTTTTATAAAACTTTTTATTTTTATCTCAGGTTTTGAAATGGATAAAGGACAGACTCCTAGCCATAGAACAGGGAAAATTTGAAGATTCCCTGAAGACTAAAATGCAGAATCTCAGACTAAGTTTGAGGTCATAAAAGGTGTTGTTGAAAACTAAGGTTTTTAAGAAACCAAGACTAATGCAGAGATTATTTCAAATTCAGATGAGATCAATTTGCTGTAATTTTGTATGCATGTTAAGTAGTAAGACAATTCAGGAGGAGGAGGAGGTAGGAGCAAGTGAAACATATTTGGTTGAAGATTAATACATCCCACGTTCCACTAAATCAAGGAGAAAAAGGAGCAAGCTGGTATGGACGCTGAGCATTGCCTGCCTACAGCAGATAAGCAAGCTGCTCAGGAGAAGTCTTGAGTGTTTGATGCTTCACATACAGTACTTTAATACAAACTGCTATGAAAGTATGACTTAATGACTAGAAATGGGGCCTGTCGCTAAAATCTGAAAGTGACGGAGTTGGTTCAGAGCCATGTCAGGAGCTGTTATTTGGACTGGATAGAAAGGACAGATTGCAGTCAGTGCATGAAGCACATTACCTCCCAAGTCCTACAGTTTTACACATACCAAGGACTATGTTTGGTCTGTTTTCATTGTAGTATCCAGGTCTTAAAGTGCATACATAGATAAGATGTTCTTATGATACAGAGAAGAGACAGCATCTCTGTTTTATAGATAGAAACCGAAATTCAGAATAGAGTTCTGCTCACTCCACCTCTAACAAATGCCTTTGAAGTTCAACCCTGCTATACCTCATACCTCAGATAGCAGCATCTCTGAGTGTGTGAGAAGGTGGGGGGCTGACTTTAGATTTTTCAGGAAATACAACAGAAATGTCAGATCTTAATAACGTCAGTGAGATATGAGGGTATGTTTTGAGGACCGCAGTCTTGAATTAGAGTATTAATTGAATGTAATTCTTGTGTTTAAAGGTATACATGACACACAGTATGTTCCCCTACTTCAGTCCCCTGAGGATGTAATAGGTGTGTCCTGGCAGTAGTCATTTCCATGGAGCATGATAGGTTCTATTAAATGTATCTAAAGCCTAGTTAACTAAAATGACAGAGAGATGCTTGTAATCATCATCTGTGTGACAGCATAGCAGCTAGTTCACAGAAGTGGGAGATTTGCAGCTGGAGGGACTGAAGCTGTCTTGCACTTTTGCAGGTTGTTGCACTACAGCCTTGGTGGTCTAGGCAATGTATGCTTCACCTTGCCTTCTGCATCTCGCCTGCCACATGTCGTGGTTTGAGCTCAGAGGGCAACTGAGCACCACTCAGCTGCTCACAGGTCCCTTCTCTCTCAACAAGGAGAACAGACAGATGAGCCAGGCTTGGTATTCAAGATAGGACTGGGAGGGGCAGATCACCCATTATGGTCATGGGCAAAAGGCAGACTCATTAGGGAAAGAAAAAAAAAAAGAACATATATTTATTACAGACACTAACAACAACACTTAACAGAGTAGGACAGCGAGAAGCATTGCCACATCTTGTGAACACCTTATCCCCACCCCTCCCTTCTTCCCAGGCTCAGGTCTGTTCCCAATATCTCTACCTCCTCCCCACAGCAGCACAGGGGCAGGGAATGGGGGGTGCAGTGAGTGCTGCCGCTTCTTCCATCTTCGGTGGGGGGAGCTTCTGGAACTTCTTCCCCCTGCTCCATTGTGGTCCCCCTCTCACAGGAGACAGTCCTCCACAAACTTTCTCCAACATGAGTCCCTCCCAAGGGCCGCAGTGTTTCCTTACACTGCTCCAGCATGGGACACCAACTTTTTCCAACTGGAGTCCCTCCCACGGGCTGCAGCCCTTCCCGAGCTGCTCCGGTGTGTGACACCCCTTCATGCTGCAATCCTTCCAGCACTGAACTACAACAGCAGGGGCTATCATTTCCCACAAGACCCCGGCCTTCTTCAGGCACAGACACCTTGATCGTCCATATGAAATGAAACACAGGCCATAAATCATTGTCTGCTCCACCATAGATCTTCATGGGTGGCTGGGGGGGGGGAGGGGGTGCGGGCCACCCTGCTGTCTCACCACAGGTTACAGGGGGGTCTCTGCTCTGGCACACCTCCCCCCTCCTTTCTTCCTCTGTTCCTCCACTGACCTTGGTGTTCATGCAGCTGCCACAACTCCTCCTCACAAGTCCAACAGCTCGTCACCACGTCCCTTAAATACGTTGTCACAGAGGTGCAGCTGATGGGCTCAGCCTTGGTGCGGAGGTGGAGCTGACTTGGAGCTGGGGGAGCTTCGAGAAGCTTCTCACAGGGGGCCACCCCTATAACCCCCTCCCCTGCTACCAAAAAACCCCACCACTCACTCAAACCCAGGACACACTTCATGCTGGCCTGCTGCTGGGCCAGAGAAATTCAGCATAGCTGCCTACACCAGTGATCAAGAATCTTCAATGAAAAGGCCAAATCCCGGAAAAGGATAAATCCTGGCAGACCCTGCTCTGCTGGGAAAAGAGCACTGCTTCTGCAGGCTGCAGTACTGTCCTCTGTAAGGGACCTTTTGGAGCTGCAGCCCTCAAAATAAGGTACAGCTGTGGTATGTATTGCAGAGATTTAGGGCAGATGTCTCTGGCTCCCTAAAGAACAAAGGTGTCTTTAATTGGAGACCTCTCAGGTTTGGCAAATTATACCCTGTGTGTCTTGGTTCTTCTTTAGCTTATTGCCCTCCTTTATAGATTTGCTAGAGTTAGGGGGGGTGGCTGTATGTGGTTTCGATCCCATCAGCAAGCTATTTGCTTAGTGTCATCTAATCTGACATTCACTCCTGCCCAGCAAAGCAAAGCAAATGGCCAGTAGGTCTTGTATCAGTACTGCTATCAGCACATGATTCCTCTAGTCTCTGTCTGCTTGGCTGACTGCTGCTTGAGCTAATGTTCGCATAGGATATCAAAAGGAAACACTACTGACTCCATTTGAGCAACTCCTAAATAAGCATGATTACTCCAGTCTTGGTAAGTATATTGGACACAAACTTCAGTGGTCAGCGCTGAAGGCCTTTTATGTGCTACAGCCTGTACTGGGCCATTCCATCAATATGGAGTAGGAAAGGGAAGTAAATACCTACCTATTTACTTCTCTCCATCCTCAGAGAGGAAAACTCTCTGTCTAAACTAGGTGATATTAAATCCTCTTTTCCACAGAGTAAATTTTTTTATTAGTGCGAAAGTTAACTAGTATGAATTTTTCAAGGTATCATCTTTTTGAATATCTGCTGGAAGCAGCAGAATTTTTCTAAAAGTTCATTTCCCTGTTAGCATGAACTTCTTGGCTGAAAGAAAACATGCTTGGAACCAAGCAGTGTGCACTCTGTTGCATCTCACTGCTTCATTACATCTTAATTCCTGTCTCTCCCCACCAACCCCAAGATACTTCAGACTGCTTCACCAAATAGCTATGGGGTTTTTTTCTCACCAGCAAACTGTTCTCCTGTTCAGGAAGGTATGAAAGTGAAAATTGGCAGCTGAGGTGACAAGTCATTGCAAAAGCAAGATAAATGAATTCACTGAAACCCTAATCATGCTTCAGTAAATGAGCAGAAGAAAGGTTTGAGAGTTCCTATGGTAAGTTAAGCTCATTTATCTGTTTGTTCTTTCTTGCCAAAATCTCTAGATCACCCTTAACTGAGGAGAAAAGGGCAAAGGGAAGAACAGGGGATGTAAGGTATGGGTGGATGGAAATGGTAAATGTTCCCTTTGCTAACGCCATCTTTTCCCAGCTTGTCTTGCTGAGAGACTGGAAGACCTTTAGAGCCTTTTCTCCAACATATGTGGTTTTCCACTTAGGACTCATGATGACCACCTCACTTGGCACAGGAACCTGTCTCTGTGGCAGCCCAATTTGAATGGAGCCAGACATCATTGTTAATGACACAATTCAGTCAAGCTACCTCTGGCTGGACGGAAATTCTAAAGACTGAGCTGTGCATGGGGTTTGGGGTATCTCTGCAAAAGCTGCAGGGATAGAGTCTGATTTCTCTCTCTTCTGATTGCATCTCTACTCTTTCCTGCCCAAAATTTTGCTCAGTCTCCTCTCACGCACCCCAACTGATGAGTTTCCTTTCTGCAGTCCTGAAAAAGCCCAGAAGAGAAAAGGAAAAGGTACCATGTAAGCAGTAGAGGCCCTCAGAGCATGTAAGGGATGGCGAAGGTACTGGAAAATTGAGGGACATCCTGGACCAAACAAGTTCCTATTTACTAGACTAACTGCAGAATTTCTGAAGACTGCTGTTACCCTACAGCTGAATACAAAAGTATATCCTGGCTCCCACTGAGACACGGAAAACCACAGGCAGGGTTTGTGCCAGTAGAAATGGCTCTGCAAATAGTTGCATGTGTGAAAACACTTCACACCACTGAGGTAATTGTAATTATGTTTTTTGCCTTCCAATCTGAGCCATAAAAAGTACTTAAGACCCATCCTAGACTGTAGCCATGGGAATTGATTTGCTATTTATTGAATCTCATGGATCCAGAGATTAGGCTGTTTGTAGGGAATGTGTTTGCTCCAGCTGTAGAGAAGGTGATGCATGAGCCTGGCCACATCAAGGTCTTGCTTTTATCCCCATGTCTTTCATATGACAGAAGCCTAAAATCCTTTTCTCTTTGGGTCACTGACCATTTCTGTCACTACAATACTAGCAGAATCTAGAGCAGGCTGAACAGATTCCTATCCGCTATAGCATTCTTCCCATTTTAAAATTGTAAGAAACAGAAGAACAAAGAGTACATATATTTTTGAATCAATAGGGAAGTGAATTCTTTCATAGTTCTATAACTGTATCAACCTGTAATAATGCTTTTATCAAACAAATATCTATAATTTGTTTTGTCAAGTAAAAGATTCGGGTTGGAAAGAACAGTATCCAGCTACATGTAAAAACGATTTTCTGTCTTGTATGCTTGTTCTAAAATGTAAAATCCCACTTTCTCTATGTATGTTCCCTCATGGTGAACCATGCAATATACAGTTGGAAATTTTAACTTGCTTACTTTCTTAGACTAAACTGTTATACTTTGCAGCCTGTAATGGCCTTAACAGTGATATTCCTATAAATATTAGTACAAGTATTAAGGACAATGGAAATAAGCCTTGTGTGATGTAATCCTGCAGGTTTTGTGCATTCTGATCATGATTCAGCAAAGCACTTAGTGGCATATATTTTGTCTTACCTGTATGTATAGAATTCAGCAGGGGTATTTGCATGTTTAAAGGTAAGGATGCATTTGAGCACTCTACTGAACTAGATTCAGAGTAATTCTCAGCTGTCAAGATCCTGTTTACTGTGAATAACATAGCAGATTTCGCAAGACAGAAACACTCATGTTGCACTGGAACTACTCTTCAGAAACCACCAAAGTAGCTACCTACATATAACCACAGTTCAGTTATGAGTGTTCCTCCCAGGCTATAAATATGTACTTAGACAGGGGAGTGTTTATGTACAGAACAGTGTAATGCAACTAACAACTTAAATTCTCAGTCTTGAATGTTGCTACAATAAAGATTAATTTCAAGAGAAAGACATCTACCTATTGAAATCCACCTAGTATTGAGAACACAGAGAATTATTCTAAATAAATGCTTGTCTATGATCAGTTTTGCATGAGTTTCTTGAAAGTGAGATTAACAGATTACTGTTACCTAAATGAAGATATGTCCACTACCACCGTTCCCCAGCTAAATCTTGATAGATTTTCTTCTGTTAGCATGTCACTACTAACCATTGAATTTCTCTTAAAAAGCTCATTCTGTCCTTTGTTTATGAATAAGTAAAGTTTGTTTCTTGCGGAGCCGCGGACGAACGACATGCCGAGACGGGTTCAGTGTGGGTGATAGAGCATCAATCTACGTGTCTTTATTGGTCCAGGGTACATATATTTATACAGACAATGATAATTATTATGCCTACTAGTCACTAGCTGATTGGCTTAAGCTCTAAAGGTCGTATTCGCACGGTCCACCTACTTGCAGTTAGCTTACAGCACAAGCTTCTCATAACACTAAGTTTCTCATGCTACTTGTTTTCAATACACGACAGTACCGTAACACAATGTTTCTCAGACCACCGTTATCATAACACTAGGTTTCTCAGACCACTATTCCTAATTCCCCTTAACCTGTTTTTGACACACCACGGTACACAGGGCTGAAGCGTCCTTGACATTCCTCCTGTATCAGCAGCTGCGAGCAGCTGCAGGCAAACCCTAGTGAGGCCCAGCATCAGCAGCTAGAGCAGGCTCTGATCATACAATTGCTCGGTGGGCTCAGGACCCTTGTCTCTGAGCCATTCTCCAACAATTCCCCCTTTTTCTTTTTGTATGAGCAGAGCCTGTGCTAATGTTCATTCCAAGATTTTCTTAATACATGACAAGGCACAACTTAAGCATGCAGGCTTACAATCTACTGGCTAAAGGCACAGGACCCTTGTCTCTGAGCCATTCTCCAACAGTTTCTAGATCTTTTATTCTTGACTTGCATGCAATTTACAGCAAAATATTTCTTTTGTTCTAAAATCATTCTCTTCCTCAAAAAAGTGAAAGGGTAAACAGTTTTCAGACAAACCATTAGGTGAGTCTTTTTAATCAACTAGTGTATCAGGCTTGATTTTGTTTTTAAATGTCATTTAGCTTTGATATTATTTTTATATGATAGATCCCATGAAAAATCAAGTCTTTTCAGTCAATTATTCTCAAAATTTAAATATACCATTGTCGTGGTTTAGGCCTGGTTGGCAGCCAACCACAATGCAGCAGCTCTTTCTCCCTTCCCCTCCAGCAATGAGAAGGGACAGAGAACCAGGCTTGGGGTTCGAGATAGGACTGGGATGGGAAAAAATTCCCCTTTATGATCACGAGCAAAAGGCAGACTCATTAGGGGAAGGAAAAAAAAAAAGAACATACATTTATTACAGACACTAACAACACATAACAGAGTAGGACAGTGAGAAGCATTGCCACGCCTTGAGAACACCTTCCCCCCACCCCTCCCTTCTTCCCAGGCTCAGCTCTGCTCCCAATATCTCTACCTCCTCCCCCAGTGGCACAGGGGCAGGGAATGGGGGGTGCAGTCAGCGTTGCCACTTTCTTCATCTTCAGTGAGGGGAGTGTCCGGAACTTGTTCCTTCTGCTCCATCGTGGTCCCCCTCTCACAGCAGACAGTCCTCCACAAACTTTCTCCAACATGAATTCCTCCCATGGGCCGCAGCATTCCCCACACTGCTCCGTCATGGGTCACTAACTTCCTCCAACTGGATTCCCTCCCACGGCTGCAGCCCTTCCCGAGCTGCTCCGGCGTGGGACACCCCCACATGCTGCAATCCTCCCAGTGCTGAATTACAGCAGCGGGGCTGCCTTTTCCCATGAGACCCCGGCCTTCTTCGGGCACAGAACCTTGATTATCCCAAGCAGAAGCCACAGGCCATAAATCATTGTCTGCTCCACTGTAGATCTTCATGGGTGGCAGGGGGGGGGCCACCCTGCCATCTTACCACAGGATACAGGGGGGTCTCTGCTCCGGCACACCTCCCCCCTCCTTTCTTCCTCCGTTCCTCCCCTGACCTTGGTGTTCACGCAGCTGCAGCAACTCCTCCTCACAAGTCCCACTGCTCGTCACCATGTCCCTTCTTAAATATGTTATCACAGAGGCGCAGCTGATTGGCTCAATTTCCCAAACAGAAGTGGAGCTGACATGGAGCTGGGGGAGCTTCAAGAAGCTTTGCACAGGGGGCCGCCCTGATAGCCCCCTCCCCTGCCACCAAAAAACTCCACCACTCACTCAACCCAGGACAACCATGTTGAACAGGAGCATTCAACTAGCATAATAACTCCTACTAATAAATAAAAAAATTTACAATATGAGAATTCTGAAAATCTCCCCTTTCACTCAAGAAAATGCCCAAATATTCTTAAAGAAGAAAAGCATGCAAGTTAAGTTTGACCCAACCATTAGTACTATAAAAAAGGCACCAGTAATACTTAGTTCTTGATTATAATCAACATAATAACGATCAAGTAAAAGTTCAGACAGTACCCCCAGCTAAAAAAAAACATGTTTGTAACAAACCTATAAGGACCATACTTTCACATTGAACATGTAAGGTCTTCCAACATGTTTTAATTACAAAAATGTAAACCAATGCAAAGACAGCATGAGAATACATTGCTTTACCATGGCTGCCAAGAGAAGCGAGTGGCACCTCCCATAAAAATACAAAGTGGAACTTAACTTTTTCCTCAACTTCATTGGTAATGCGGGAAGTACACAAGTTTTTCAGTCACTTATGTGAGGCTTCTCAGTGGCAAAAAAAACAGTGTTAACTGTAGAGGAAACATAAAGCTAGACCATTCTTACAGAGGCTGGTGGGGGGGGGCAGAGATGGGAGTACTGTAATGAACAACAGCAGAACAATGAAATAAATCCATGAGTATCATCAGTCTATAGGCATGTACCTGCTTGTCCTCTTTAGTACAAGCCCCAACATCGGTTTGCACTGTTTTTTGTAATATATTTTAACATGCTTTATTAAAAAGCAAGGATAAGGTGTGTAAAGATCTTAAGAACCCCTAACTATTGTGTGCTTGTACAAATGGTTTTCTGCCATATTGCTCTGCATTGCTCTATTTGAACTACAATTTCTTTCTGGGGTCAATGCTTGTCTGCAGTGGGCAGCCTGGTAGGCTACATGAAGAGTAAAGGATGCATATCAGACAGAAAGCACCAGTTCTTCCTTACTGATCTGGAAAACCTAATCATAGTCAGCCTATGAAGTCATTCTGGGCAACTGTGGAAAGGTTAGAACGCCATTGGAGAATATATTTTTGAAGTTGGCAGAACAGGATTGCTGGGAAATTGTCATGCTAAAACACTGATAAAAAGAAGGAATCTTTTGAAAGAGCTGACTTTGTGCTCAAGCGTGTCAGAGAAATTTCCACGAAGTAGCTGTGCTTGCTTTTCCAATCATTGTTTTGCACATACAGTTTATGGCAAGATGGCTCTTGTGTAACACCTGTAAGGGCTGAATTTATTAACCAGCAAGTCTGGCTGAAAGCTTTTGCTTTGTCTCAGAGCACATGATGTTCATATAATTATAGTATTCAGAACCAATACCTGGACTTATTTTGGCCTTGGTGACATAAGCAAGGTTATGTATGGTAGTGCAACTCTAAGTACAGAAAGTCTGTGTGGGGGTACAGGAGTCAAAAGCATTCTGAAGTAACCCGCTGACCATATCACAAAGTCACCTTAAAATGTGAAATAATGCTTAGCTTGAGAAACTGAAGAGCCACAGTTTCAGCTCCTTATTTCAATCACATGCTGTTGAATCTTGTTCTTGCGAAAGAAAATGAGCGTTAAATATTTTGCTCAACGTGCTTTAAGAATATCTCTCCAGCTTTTAGCCAGCATTCTCAGTTTGATGCATAAGCTTGCACTTCTCTAAGGAAACACTGTGATTTCTTGAAAGAGGTCCTTCTACTTCTTATGAAACAGAGCTTGATATGACACTTGAGACAGAAGTTCTCTTTGCACACAAAACAGTTGTAGTTTTGTCCCATGAATAACCTGTATAACACACCCAGATATGCTGCAAACTGAACATCCCACTTAAACCAAGCCTTTGATTTTTTTTCTTACTCTAATTGGAAACAACATTGTTCTCCAGTTTCTATAATTTGACTCCACAGTAAATATTCACGAAAATAAAGATTTATAATTAAGTACTAGAAAATGTATGGGATTGACTACCATATAGATGGCACCCAATTGTAGCTGTCTATATCAGTCTTAAAAGTATGGAAGATGTTAAATGTAAAATAATAATTACTTTGTTATTGCAGAAAATTACTGAGACCAAATGTTTCAGAGCCTGAGTCCCTTAATTTATGCTAGTTTTACACTGTTATTTTAATCCCACAGATCACCTCCTGACTTGCAGTGGAGTAAAAGGGAAATTGAATCCTCCTCTCCATTTAGCAGTGACTAACATTGACTGGATGTCTGTATTGGCAGAGATCTAATGCCTAATTTACAGATTGTCAAATTTAGCAATCACAAGACCTTTCTTCTCTTTACTGATACAACTGAGGTTGATATTTCCTCTGCAAGTGATTGAAGTAACATGTCAGGAAGCAAGCAGTATCAGACTGCTGCATTGCGTTCCACGTAGCAGCACATAATTAGAAGAAACTTTTTCTGACTGTTCTGTCTTTAAGAGCATTTAATGTTTGATCAGATAGGATTTCTCTGTGTTTCTGTAAATCTTAAAAGTCTTGAACTAAAGGCCAAGAACTAATAAAAGTCCTTTCAAGAGGAAAACAATCAGGTATTTGGAAGTGGGCGTTAGCTGCGTCTCACAACATCTTTATACTTCTATATCAGGGTGCAAAATAGTTTCTCTGAGCTAAGC